ATATATAATATATATTATATTTATATATATATAAATAAAAATATATTAAAATAATTAGTTAATTACCTAACAATTAATTAGTTTCAGTTACTTATATTAAAGACTCATGCAATATAACTGATTATGGTGCAAATTTTGTTTTTAGAAAAAAAATAATGAAAATAATATGTTAGGACTGTGATTTTTACAGGATAAATTGTTCATAAATATTTTTTTTGTTAAAATAATTACACATGCCAACCAGTTTGTGAAAATGTACTAGTAACTGTTTTTATTGCATTTAATTGGCATTAGCGTTAATTATATTTATATATATATAAATATATACATATTTTAATATTTTTTAAATTATATTTTTTTTTTGTGGTTTTTTATTGATCTTTAAAAATTCGCACGTACAAAAACAGTTTTTTTTTTAAATTCTAAATATAATTAAATATTTTGGTGTAAAATATAATACTATAATTCTAAATACTAACTTCACTCTCAATATGCTTTAAAAATTAAGCATAGAAATGATCAACTAATATAGATTTGCATTTATGTATATATAAATAATATAATGTCGGTAAAAGAATATTAAGTAATATAAACTTTGTTGTTTTCTTGAGTATTATTAGTTTTTTTTTAATTTAGATCTTTCGAAATTATTAATAAATTAAAATATATTTTTTATGCACAAAGTGATTGTATATATACCCTATTGGTTGTATAAAAATAAGCCTTGTTAGAACTAGTGAGCTATTTCAGTTGAAGATTTAATTTTAAAAAATATCATCAACATATATCATTGATATTTTATTAGAATTATTTCTTCTTTTGCTTTAATTTCTTTGTAAGCATATTATAAATAAATAACAAAACTAAAAAAGTTTTTCTTAATATTATATGTTATAAAAAATTTGTGCTTAAATGAGAATATGTTAATTTCACATAAGATGATTTAAGTAATTTATTTAAGAATATGGACACTTCCATATATCATGTATATTATTTATATATAAAAGCAGTGTTTAAAGAATTTCTTTTTAGTAACATTTAAAAAAATGATATATTTTTTTCATATATAAGTCATGTGTTTAAGGAAAACAAAAACTTAATAATAATAAAAATAATATTTAATTCCTTCTTGAATGGTTGAAACCCTTACAAAATAAATCGAACAAGTAGATCTATTCATTATGTATACATCATGCCATGAATGATGACTGAATGATAAACAAAAGTATTGTCAATCTATCATTTTAACTGAAAGCACAAATAAATTTATGATTACGGGCCTGACTGTAAACTATTGATTTCGTTCAGAAGACGATTTATCTAACTTCCCAATCAACGATTTCAGAATTTGGTTGCCTAAATTACAATAAAAATTTGGGTTTAGAACCGGTACACAACCTTGCTTCATTTATAGAAAATTATCAACATATATTATATGTTAAATATAAAACTTGAAACTCTATTTATATATAACTAATTATTGAAACTTAAAAATATTAACTATATTTTTACAAGATTCATGTACGTTATCTAAATTAGTTAAAATTATCTAAAAACATTTACTTCGAAAACACTTGCTTTATAATATTTAAGTCTATACCAATATTTTCAAAAATATTGATTAAAACAATTGACTTAATAAATATTATTACCGTTATAATTTCTTATTTACTATTAGTTAAAAATAAATATGATTAGAGATTTTAATTACAGTCTTAATTGTACTAATAACATGACATCGGTTTCCAAACTTATCCCTCCATTAGTTAACCCTACTTTTGATGACATATTCAATACAATAATAAAATAATATAAAATAAAATTCCACAATTCAAATCATTACCATTAGATACAATTTATAAATTATTTATTCATTTATTAGAAATATCTATAGATAAGTAATATACATACATGCAGCATATTTACAATATATGGCTTAATAATAATTTAATATTTAAGAACATAACTTAGTTTGTAAATATTTTAATTTTAATAGAAATAATAACTATTATTTATATTTAATATAATTTATAACATTATTTTTTTTTAAAGAACTTCCCTATATTTACTTAATTCTTTCTCTGTTATTATTATTTATAAACTTTTTTTAATGTCACAAAATTCATAATAACATTTTAAGTCTCAGCATAAAAACTAATAACAAAAATGAAAAAAGGCTTTTCCACTGAAATGATCGTTAAAATTGCGTTCAATATCTAATATTCTACATTCACGAATTAAGGTCCTCACATTAAATTCGGGAATCATCCGTTTTCGATTAGTGTCTGAACTAACAAAAGCCCATACACTCTCATATCTTTTTATTAAAGGATATTACTACATGGGTTCTCTTTTATTATAAAATATTACTTCAGACACACATTTAGTACGGGACTTTGCTTACTATACCCCCATTGAAAAAGCTCATTCTTATATTTAATATTAAATATAGTATTTATAAAATCTTTTCATATCCATTTTTTAAATTTAGTTCGCCTTTTCATATCTTCTGTAATTTTAGGTAGTTATTTATTTTAATTCAATTTTTCAAAGAAACTTTTTCAAAGATTGCTTCTCTTAAAGTCAGTGGTCTATTCTTGCCAGTTTTTGTATCTGTCTGTTGGTACTTTGGCGCTCTCAGAAAGCGCTCATGGGTCTTTTTTATAAGTCAAGATCGAAGAAATACAAAAACAGAAACTACACTACAAGAAGGTGATTGAGCCTGTGAAAATTTAAACTCCAGACTTTGGAGTTGAGACTTAGTGAGATATGATAGAGATTTGTAGTTTAGTTCTACTTGCATTACTATGTTTAATTCTATCTATTTAACAATACGTAGTTGCTAAAAAAGCATTATTTCTAGTTACATATTCGTAACAAATAAATACCTGATACAGTCCTTTTAGTGGCGGACCTCACTTGATCGTCAAAAGTGGGTACGTTTCTCAACTTTGATCTAGATTGAAATTAATTAACGTCCCACCCACCCAATCTATTATTGTTTCTATACAATCCCCTCTAACATCCTAACCTATGTATAAGTATTTGTAATTCTTTTCATGTCATCTGCTCAATAGATCTTCTTACAACTGTAATTTATTTGTTTCATAAGAATAAAAAAATAAATTTGTTCCATTAAGTTTTTTGTGATTAGCAATTTGTAGAATAGTAAATTCTAAACTTAGTCTTGTCACTAATTACTTTGTTTATTCCATTCATTGACATGCAATCTTTATATTACACATACGAAATTGCTGAGTCAATATCAAATTTTTTTCTCTACCCTTTCCAAAATTTATAAAAATAGTTTAAATATCTACTTTTCATATTTCCATTTGTAAATTTCCCTTTACAAAAATATAACTTCTTTAAAACAAATATAAAAGTATAAATTATTCAATTGTTTGAAAAAAAAAACATCCCTTCATATATTAAACATACCTTCAATAAAATACTCAATACCATAAAATATAGAGTAAGGTTCTTTAATACATTCAATCATATATTAAACATACTTTCAATAAAATATTCAACACCAAAAAATATAGAGTAAGGTTCTACAATTCTATAGCAATTCTTGTACTGTACTATTCTTTAATTGGCCTGGTTCTAAAATGTGTACACCTACTATTTAATTCTATTTCTGATAATATCTTGTGTGGGTAAACACATATACAAGGGCGTAAATAGAGAGTCGTTTAAGGGAAATTGCGGAAAATTTAGATTTGGTAGGATATTAGTTATTGTTATGGTTAAAATTTTTGAAGGGGTTGTTAAAGCATCTTATTATTTTAATATATATATTTTGGATATCTGCCATGTCGTTAAGTTAGTGTGGTTTCATTTCGAAGCCATCTTGATGTATTATTAAAGAATTTTATTCTTTTGATATATATATTTGGGATATCCGCCAGGTCGTTTAGTTAGTATGGTTTCATTTCGATCCCATCCTGCGGTATTATTAAAGGATTCTGTTCTTCTAAAATAGAATGTTTATATTTTAATATATATATTTGGGATATCCACCGAGCTGTTTAGTTAGTATGGTTTCATAGTGGAATACCTTAATCTAGCCTTAATCTAGCATTTACACAATGAGTGTTCAATTATAAAAATTTTAAATCAAACAGCAAAATACTCTATGAAATTCTCTATTAAGTAATTCCATATCTATAGTATATCTTTTTGTTTGTAAGCCATAAGCAGTTGTGGAACTCACTTTAAAACTACAATGCACTGAGAAAATGAAATTACAAAAATTGTTAATTAGTTTTTAAAAAGTGTTTAATATTTATTTTATAAAAGCGCAGCTAATTAACTTACTTCTCTTTGAATATATAATCATTTTGCATATAACGATATTAAAAACAATAATATGTATTATGTAAATACTTCACTTAAGGTCAAAATAAATCAATTAGATGTTAGTATAGTTATTTATGTTATGTACATATATATACGAGTATGTATTTAAATCAAATTGCATTTGAAAACAATAAATTTATGTAATAATATATAATTATCTAAAACAAAAACTCTGAACGAACACAAAATGCTGTAAAATTAATGTATAAAAACAAAACATATATTCAAAATGTTAATTTTTCATTAGACATTTATTTTTAAAACAATTTTAGAATAAATTCAAAAGTTCAAGAGGTAGAAGAATCTTTATATTAAATGCACTCGAAACAAGTCAACATTAAGCGAAAGGAATTTGGTGAATTACCAAAGAGAATTTTGGAACTCATCTTAGAACAAAAAAAAAATTGAATAAATTTATAAACAAACTACTACATACATAAAAACTTAAAAGACTTTAAAGAGATAAAATATGAAAATAATATAAATATATATACATATATATATATATAAATATATTAATTTTGTTATGTGAATGTAAAAAGTATATAAAAATTCAAAAAAAAAAAAAAACTGTAAAAATCTATTAAATTATTTATTCAATAAGAGAATAACAAAAATATTAATATTGATTTGAATGTTTTAAATAAAATAAAATAAAATATTGATGGTAAACCACAGTTTTCTTTTTTGTTCTATTCCCTGCTTAAAAGCAAATTTGGGTAAAATCTAAGCCCCTCTAAAGATTCATCCCGACAAACTTTACCTAATCGTTCCGCTGTTAAAAGTCGTTCTTTAGCTAACAATAAAGATATATTCAACTGTTTAGCTAATTCTTCTGCCGCTAACGATTGGGCGACTTCTACCAGTTCTAAGGTTTCAGTAGCAATTATTTCATCATCTTGAGACTCTAGTTGCAGTACCATTGCACCACTTGGAAATGTACGTAACTTAATTGGTCCAGTAAGCTGACGACATGCATTTAAAAGATCTTCCGGTGATAGTAATTCTAAACCACGTGCACGATTTATACGACAATAAACATCTGCCATTGACATCATACCACGTGATTCCTCCAATGGATCTAGCAGCATTTCGCAAATTTGCTGTGCCAAACTTCGAAAATATTCAGTATTGCTTGTGAAATTTTCTCGTGTTACTGGATCATCTATACCTAAACTCATTAGATATGATTTAAAGCGCACAGTTTCGTCATCCGAAATTTCTCCTTTCTGTTCGCGTATTTTGGTGCTAATCACTTTTGAAACTGATACCATATCTTTTGCCATTGCCATCAACACATTGAGATCCTGAAAAGCTAAAGCAATATTTTCATCCGTTTCTTTAGCTTTCGCTTCAATAGAACGTTCAATACCACCAATGCCAGTACGCATCTTTAATCTTAAATTACTATTAACAATTGTTGCATTTGCTTGTCTATTTCCTGTGAATATTCCATTTGTACTGATACTAATTTCCCATATGCGCGCATTTAAAGTTTCTCGCAAGGCAACGCTAAATTCTGTATTTACTCCATTTTTACCTGAGATTTTTATATATGCTGCGCGGCTACTGTCAAGTGGTCCAGGTGCCTTATCTGCTGCTGGTGGGCGCAAATGTAATACGTAACGCGTTTTGCGACCAAATATATAGGAGCTGGCAGTTTCTTCACTAATTGATATCACATATTTAAGTGGCAGGCATAACGTTACAGCAGCACGTGCTATATCTCCTGGTTGACCCCAAAAAATACGGTGTGAGGTTAATAAAATTTCGCCTTCCTCAAATCGGGTCTACTTGAAAAAATTTCATTATATACATATATTTAGGAAGTAAATAGTTTGGTACGCACTTTTTGATCACCGTCATATAATTTAATGTTGTGATCACGACTAACAAATGTTTCGCCTTCGTGAAGGCGAGCTTCTATATACTCAAAACGATTCATTATATCCACAATTCATTTCATTTATCTAATATATAATATACAATAAATTCTGCGTAAAATAATATTGGTAGTCAAATGTCAGTTGTTATTGAATTGAGTCAGATGTTTTTCATTTTGTTATACACTTCTTCGTACTAAACGCCACTGAACCAAACATTACCAATTACACGGTGAAATTTTATTGTGAGGAAAAGTTTTTTTCCGTTTCATAAAAATCTAATTGTCAACATTAGATTTTTATAAAGTATTTATAATTACTAACAACATATTTTTATATAGAATATAGAATCAATTCCAAAAATAATTATAAAATATAACAAACAAACAAAAAGCCAATGAAATAAAAGGAAACATCATATATATATATATTTATATAGATATATATATATATATATATAGCTAAATTTATATATATAGATAATCACTCTTTAAACTATTGACATAACATAACTATATAGGAGCAAAAATCAATGGTACACTGCTTATAGGTACTATGATTTCAAACCTAGAATGATTAAACTAATATGTTTGCTCAAACTTTCAAATTTAATATATATACTTAACATTCTAGATTTATTGAATTCTAATCTTTACAGGTTTATAAATTCAAGATATGTGGATAGAAAATATTTTTTGAAATAAAACTTAAAGGTTTCAAAAAACTTACATGTTTTAAGCTGCATTGAATGAAAAAGTTATTAATAATCACATTTTTGATTTTGTATTTGTAAAAATATTACGGCACATAGTTTTTTATATATAAAATTTATAAAATATAATTTTTTTGCAGCTTTTTATATAATGAAAATAAAACACTTAACCAATCAAATATCACTAACAGATTAACGCAATCAGAAACCGCTATAAAACTGTTCGCTTTTATTATTCCAAATATATTTTCCAAAAATATTTTCCAAAGAAATATCGGTTAATAAGTAACAAATTTGGGACAATTATTTTTGCACCCAAATGACACTGTTATGCACACTTGAGATCATATTTAAAGCAATTAAACTGTTCATAAATGTTTAATTACATAGCGCTAGGCTGATCTTAATATTGTTATATATTTATTTTAGGTTTTTAATACTTACAATTAAATTTATACCGTATTACTTTAATTTTATGTATTAATTAAATAAGTTATATTAAAAAATAATAAACGTAATTTTAAACTAATTTTGATTTTTTAACGCATAACTCTCATTTTTGTTTTTTATGAACAAAAGTTTGAAGAGCTTTTGCATTTCAAATGTTGATTCAAATAAAAAAAAACAAATGCTACATATAAATTCTTTAATTTTTTGTTATTGTATTTAATTTTTTAACTTATATTAAAAGTTATAACAAAAGTGATATTTACATATCATTTAATCGCCTGTGTAACATGGCAATCATGGCCATAAAAGCACCTAAACAACTTTGCAATCCCGAATGTATCTTAACATCATATAGCATGTTCACACTGTCTCATTTAGGTGGTTTTGCTCATTATAACCACTAATGCGGATGATTTACCATACAAAGTGTTTTCGTATAGATGAGCTTATAATCAATAAATCAACTCATTTAAGGTAAAAAATGTTCACACAAGGGAAATTACCAATATTTGAAATATGTGTCATGTGTTTTATATGTAAAATGTAAACAAACAACAGCTGAGCTGTAAACAAACGTACTGACAAAGTGAATAAAATCTTTTATTTTATTAATTGAAAACATAATAAAATATTTATATGTAAGTGATTTGATATATCAATTATATATTTAATTTCTTGTCTGATATATTATTGAATAAAATTTTTCTAAACAAACAGAAACTTTCTTTAAACTTTCAAAGAACATTCTAACACATAAAAGTTCTTTTAAATGCAATAAGTAACTTTTGTCAGTGAAAACGACAAAATCTTAAAGTTACTGTAGTAACTTACTAAGTAAACAGTGGAAACATGGTATAAACTAGAACATATTGCATCCAAGCTAATGTACCCAAATGTACTGAAGTAAAATTTCTACATTTACGGCTTTGGAACTTTTGATTAAATGTACTGTTTTCAATTAGTGATATAGTGTCGGTTAATTGTTTAGGGACCAACCAAAAGTGCCTTATATTATGCAATTAGTGCTTATTTATATCAAAATTGAATAGTAACTAATTGAGTATTACACATTCACTGCCTATTAAAAATGGTTCAAAAATGTTAGTGCGTTGGCAACCATAAATAAGTCACAGTTTATTTTCAGCTCTTCGAGGAATTTCTTCGCATCTTCTTGTTATTATTTTGATTTTATTTTTATTTCTTCTTGTAAATACAATTTTAAAGTCAAACAATTTCATGTAGTATTGAACGAAAAAAAAAATTATGTAAAGTAGCACAAATAAAAACAAGCCTAATTCAACAATCAAAACAAAAATATAAAAATAAAACGCCTACGAACGAAACTCATAACGGAGTACGAAAAATAGAAAATATTAGTGAAATTCATAAAGCAAAAACACCAAAAATAACTTTGCAAAATATAAAAATAAATTTTAGGTATTATTAAAAAAAGTCATACAAATGCAAGGCATTAAAACACGAGCAACCATTACGGCCGGTGCAGTGCCACAGCAAACAAAAACGACGAATGCAACAGTGACGGAAGCTAGTAAAATGTTAGAAGCTGCATTACAACAAATGGACGGTATTATTTCTAGCGCAGCGATTAATAATGCTGGTAATCAAGCTCAGTCAGGCGTAACAACGGAAGTTAGTAGTGGTGACGAACATTTAACAAGCACAATGCTCCCATTACATGAACGGAATTTAATTTCTGCTAGTAATGTGCTTTCAACAGCAAAAACATTGGCCTTAGCATTGCAACAGGTAATTAATATTAAACTCATTATAAAATTGAAATTGAAATTATATATAATTATTTAAATTTAGGTTGGTTTTACTGCTCCACCACCAGATCCAACAACGGCATCCATAATAAGCGATTGGCTTGATACACATATCCCACGACAGGATGCGGATGAACGTCTGAGACGTTTGCAGAGGGATAAAGAATCACTTGCATTACAGTATCAAGCGCTAGTAGAACGTGTATCGGAACAAGCAGATAAAATTATTGAACTTGAAGGATTACTGACTGATAAAACTCAACAATTAAGTGTGAAAGAAGAACAATTACAACGCCAAATGCTGTCACGTTCCACATTGGAAACACAGAAACTTGAACTAATGAGTGCATTAAGTGAACTGAAGCTGCATCGTGCCGCATTAGAACGTGAAAATGTTGAACTGAAAGATGTTGAATTAAATCTAGCAAATTTGAGCACAAAAAGCGCACCGTATGGTAGTATGGGTAATTTAAATGAAGGTCGATATTTGTCTGGTGCTGCGCCTAAAACACCACCATCATCTCTTCGACATCAAATTCAACCGCAATTTCATAGCTTGCCACGTTCACACGTAACAAAAGTTAGCAAAAACACTGTTAATAACAACAACAACAATCGAACTATTGATGCGAATGCAAATTCTAAAAGAAACGTTGCATTTGCGTCTAACGAAAAAATACTTATTGAAGATAGCTTTGGTGGTGAAAATAAAGGAAGTGATGCAATGTATGGCAGTTTCATATCAAATACAAATTCAACGCCCTCACCCAATTTGCGTGAGCGTTCAGCAAAGGGGTTACGTAACATATTTGGTAAATTGCGTCGCAGTAATAGTGGAAATCTGGAGTTGCCTGCTTTAGAACAAGCTGAAGCAGAATTCAAACGTGGAGGTTCTCGTGCTACTGCAGGAGGTCGTATTGAATGGACAACGCAGACTTCACAACTATCTACTTCATCTAAAGGTTATGTAGATTGGACGCCACAAGAAGTTTGCAATTGGTTATGTGACTTGGGCTTAGGTTGTTATGAAGATGATTGCAAGTATGTACTTTCCATTTATGCAAATTTATTTAAATTATAATAAATCAAATTGTTAAAAAAAAATTTGTTACAGAAAATGGTTGAAATCAAATCCAACGGTTTGTTTTTTTACTGCTTCACCTGTTGATATCGAAAAAGAGTTAAACTTAAAATCTACATTACATCGTAAAAAAATTATGCTTGCAGTTGATTTATTAACAGGAAAAGAAGAAGATAGTTTGGGAATGAAAGCTGCCAATTTAGATGTTAGTTGGGTTATGCGTTGGTTAGATGATATTGGTTTGCCGCAATACAAAGATACGTTTCTTGCATCTAAGGTTGATGGTTGTATGCTACATCGTTTAACATTAGAAGATTTGGCTCAACTACAAGTAAGTTCTTGTTTACATATTGCATCACTCAGACGTGGTATACAATGCATGCGTGAAATGGAATGGAATCCCGAGTGCTTAATACGTCGTTCAACTGTAAATACAGCTAGTAATGATGCTGATGATAACACTGATGCTGAAATACAAGTGAATACCAATGAATGTGTTGCTTTGTGGACAGCACATCGTGTAATGGAATGGTTACGAGTTGCTGATTTATCTGAATATGCCCCAAACTTACGAGGAGCTGGTGTACATGGTGCCTTAATGCTTTATGAACCACGATTCAATGCTAATCTTTTGGCTGATTTGTTAAGTATACCGCCAAGTAAAACTCTATTAAGACGACATTTAGCTACACATTTTAAGGAATTACTTGGTCGAGATGTTATACAAATTAAACGAGATGCTGAAGCACAGCCAGGATATCAGTCTCTTACCATGACAGCTAAATTGAAACCACCAAAGAAAACACAGTTTTCACTAAAACGACGAAAAAGCTCAAAAAGCAATACGGAAGTCGAGTGGACAGATTATGTTTGTCCAATGTCGACTTTTTGCCTCGGAGAACAACAAAATTTTAATAGTTCAACTACATCTTCAACGTCGACAAATAATTCAAATTCGCTACATTCGAACTGATTTCAAATTTATAAAATTATATATTCACAATTAAATAAGAAGTTATATAAATTCGTATTTTTTACAAATATTTAGAAAATCGACCTTATTCAGTATCCGTAACTTGGGTATTAGAACAAAATGTAAATCCACTAATTATAATACCACACAATCTTAAAATAGTTTATACTAACTTCTCTTGTAATTAATTTAATATCTGTATTTGTTGCTTTGTTGACTTATGTTGCCAGTGAGTGTCAGTAGATTGTGCGTAGTTATCAATTTAAAAACAACGTGAACCAAATTATGTATATTATTTAAAATAAATGAAATAATTTATTACAGTTTGTTTTTACCGTAAATTTTTATTAACATTACAATTTACAAATATTTTGAAATTTTTTAATTATTTAAAATGAACTTAGATTGGTGTAAAATAATTTTGTGAAACTTATATTTATGTTTAATTAGTAAATTATTTTAACATTATTAAATATTGAATTATTTGATTATTTTATATTATTCACTTCATGCCCACCCTAATTAAGTACATCATCTATCCTAAAATTGAACAAACAAAAGAAGCTAATACACAATAGTGTCTTCCAAAATTTGTATATTTTGTATTTTTATATAAAACAAAATAACTAAAAAAATTATATTCAAAACATAACATAAGCAGACCAATTTTTTTCTAAAATAAGATAAAAATGTAATTGTATTAATTATTGAAACAATTGCTCAAAATTTATACAGTAATATATTGTTATTTAACTACTAAAAAAGCCCCTCAGACAAGCTGTACTGCCATTAGTATTAAAAATGTAGTACTAATATGTTGTCTAATAATCAAAATCAAAATCAAGAAACCTTTTGCTAACATAAGCATTAAAATGTTTACTAAATTGAAAAGTGTGTTATAAATTTGTACCCTGCATTTAGATAAAATAAATGTTTCGATAAAAAGTTATTTATTTGTTTTATTTTATACATATTTAACGGAATAAAGAATGATAATTACTTATACATTTCTTATGAAAACAAAAGGAATTTTTATATTTATACAGGGTTATACGTCTTATTGCTACAAAACTAAACTAAGATTCTAAGTAAATTTTTAAATATAATCATTGTACCTATCCTTTAGACCGACATACATAGAATTGGGAGTAGGGATGAACTGAGGATGGCTGTGGTTCAAATTGAAATCAAACCGAGTCCAGGTGGAGAAACCTGGCCATTCCAATGAGATGGATCATAAGGTCGATTGGACGGAAGTTTATGTGTGCAGTGGGACAAGATAACATATGGGTGATGACATGGGGGCAGAGCTCCACCTTGGACACATATTAGGAATAGAACTGCTTATGCTTGATAAGTAAGTGATAGCTATATCCTGATCTCAATTGTGATAGGACAGTTCTTTCTGTATTGAGGTGTCGTCTTTCTTATGTTACTGAGAAATTGAAGGCAGTGGCCTGTGTACATAGAGAGTGATACAAAATAGTGTACATAAACCTGCACCATTGCGTTACCCTACAAAAAAATCTGGTGGTGTCAAATTGCGTGATCTTGCCATTCACATCATCAAAACTTTGATACATATGCGTATGGAAAACTTCTTGGGTAACAAAGCTAAAACGGGAACACTTCCCGTGTGGCTGCAGTTTATGACATTGGTCAGTCAAAACTCCACATTTTCCAAATATTCCAAAAATATATTTTGGACCTTTATGTTTGGTTTACATTGTAATTCGCAGTGATGCAATTATAGAAAATATAAACGTTTCTGCTGAATTTACTACTACATTGGACCTCTTCCTCCAGTAGGGCATAGGGCCTCAATAATTTTTCTAAATCTGACACTAATTTGTGCTTTTCTATAGATGTCATTTCATGCATATCGTGCCTCAGCTTTATCGTTCTTCCCCACATATTCATGACATCATTTGTCTCAGTATGTAATCTATCCACTTCCACTTTCTCATTTTTATCTCAATTTGTGCTGTTTTTTGAGTCGTTAGGTTCAGCAGGAGTTTATTTCATATTTGATCTGGCCACCATATTTTGAGAATTCTACGTAAACACTTATTGACAAACACATGCATCTTTCTCTCTATATGTCTGGAGTGCCTCTATGTTTCATAGCCGTAGTACAACATAGATTTCACATTTGAGTTAAAGACTCACAGTTTGGTCTGCCTCCTGAGTTCAGAGGCAGACCAAAGCGATCGCGGATATCGCTTTGTTGATACGAGCATCAACATCTTCATCAGCTCCGCTCTTATTTGTTGCAATGATTCCCAGGTAGAATAAAGAGTATACGCATTCAATTTCTTCTCCACTATTTACAGGCAACCTTATATTTTGAACTGTATTTTAAGCTGATACATTTGCAGTTCTTGTGACAATTCTTCTCCAATTCCATTATCTTTCTTTTGTGAATGCTAAGGCTGTATGAGTGGGTTATGAATTAGTACTACGTGTAAGTTTATAGTCAGAATTTTTTAAATTTCTAAAAAAGCTTCAATCAATGTTTTAATTGTGGATTATCAGATATAATCAAAACACTATGAAACTTAAATGGAATTACAAAATCCGGATACTTTTTATGTAAAGGATATTGTAAGGAAATAATATTTTTTTTTTATTGCGCGTAAAATTAATTTGATCTGTGTTCCTCTTTAATTCAATACATAATATTTAGATTTCTTAAGTGCGCGACGTTTAATTTACATATTCTGTATATTTCTGAACTGGAGATTTAACAATTTTATATTAGTATACTATATGTTATTTTCTCGGGGATTGCCACCTTGACGTGATGAGGAGGCTCAGTAGTTACGATGAATCTTCGAGCGATGCCGGCGGTAGCTTGCTACTGGTAGGGCCTCCCTTGCCGGTAAGATCGAATGAGGAGTAATGAAGCTAAGCGCATTCCACAACGTAGCGTCGGTACTCATATTGAGCGGCTGCAAAAGGCGTCTGTTCTCCAGGTCAGGTGCGGCCTATTTAAAAGTGACCTGTCACTACGTGCAAAGCTTACAGGACTGACATTGCGCTTATAACCCATCGTCAGGGCTTTGCTCCCTTTTACTTTTCTGGATAAAACATGAGTCAAAATCCGATGATAATACAGTCTCCAAGTGGTACCCGTACTGATACGGCGAATCCACCTGCTTTGGCAGCACGCACAACGGATTTGGAGGTGCGAAACTCACGTTCAAACAGAATCAATGCGATAGGTACAACTGTAACCACTATGGCCCAATGTTCCCCTGGGTTACTGGATTGATTGATTGATATATTTTATTCCGATTTTGCGGTTTGAAATTCTATGTATTACAATATATATATATATACTGCAACTATATATGTTCAGATTTTTAGGACGGTAATAAATGTAAATGTATGTTTTATTTTATTTTAATGTTTCTTGGTTTCTTGCCCTAATTTTTCATGATAACTTAGATAGATGGAGAGGGAGAGAGAGTTCACATCCATCATCATTAAATGTAATAGTTTCAAAGCATTTTATGAAAAAGTAGATTTCATAACATTTCTAGTAGGATATCTTTTAAAGCTATTTTGATAGACATCGCATTGAGATAGAGATATAGTTAATATAAGAATTGTGGAAAATATTACGTATGTTCATGTTTAACAGAAATAAATATCTGCCTGTTAAACCCTATATATAGTTTATGTAGCGTGATTATATTATTAAACATAATTTTATTTATTGAGTATTGTGTTGTAGTTATATTTACAACAACTTAAAAGTTCATATTTATATATCTGTAGCGATTCGGATGAATCATTCCGTCAAATGCAGTATTCGTCATAAATAAGCTTCAGCTATTATCAATTTTGTATAGAGTGCGTGCTAAACATATTATTTCATGTATAAACTTATAATCTAAAATTTATATAGCATAATGTTTTATCTAGTGGATCTATTAATAGCTTGGTGAATTACCATACTTTTGAAAAACGAATATAATATACATATATACAGTTTGCAAATATTAGCAACTCTATTACGTGAATGCTCCAAATCATCTTCAAATTGTTACTTATGGAAAGACTAAGTGATTAAGTGTTTTATGAATTCATATGTATATGATGATTTTATGATAAAGATTTAAAACATTAATTTTAATATTAAAATTTGAAAATTCAAATATTAATTCTAGACTAATTTAAGTAATAAAAAATTTTACCAAACAACAACTTATTTGTAGGAATAATTACTCCTACAAATAAGGAGTAATTTTAGAACAAGAAAATATAATACACACTCAGTGATATAAATCGCTGAAGATTAGAACACTTTTTTTTATTATTATTAAATATTAAGCTATGAATGCACCCCGATCTAAAAGATCTATTGTGCGCCTAAGGCTCAACTAAAACAATTCTAGACTATTTAGAAATCTCGTAATTGCTGTGGGCTTGGATCAGTTGGTTAAGGAGCACTGACTCTGAGCTTCAAATTTGGCAGTGTACGAGTTCGATTCCTGGTACTTGCAGTCTCAAAAATAATTATTTACGAGTAATTAAATACAAGAGTTATTTCCAAGACCACTGATGATGAGTATTTGGCTATACTCGAAATAGCTGTATTAAAATAAAATAAAATGAATTTTTGTTGTTGTAGTTCACTACTGTTCCGTAAACATCTTTAATTATAAAAAAATAAAAATTCATTGTTTAAAATTGAGCAAAAGCTCTCAAAAATTATTAATTTAATTTTAGCTTTTCTTAATTATTAATATCTTTTAATCTTACACTATAGACTAGAAAATTTGATGTTACTATATTATATATATAACAATTAAATATCGAAAGGACGGGATGTGGTCTTACAATAGTGAGTATTTTAAATAAATATGATGAATATTTTTATAAATTGTGTTATATGTACTCATAAAATCTAAAATAACAAAAATTTGATAATTTGGATATAGAGACTCATTACAAAAGTTAATAAATTTATTAAAATGTTTTTTTTTAATATTTTAAATATTTTTCTTGTCTTGATTTAAGTTTTAAAAAAAATGATCAATTCGAGCATTGTGCCCTTACTTAACTTATTTAAAATTAATTTTAATTATATTACAATCTTTAAACAAAAACAAATCTTAAACATTATTATTATCCTTTGGCAGTGTCAACAAATAAATTATAGCAATATTATTGTAATATTATAATATTCAGTCAATTTTAGATTTACGTTTTATATAAACAATCATATATAGAACTTAGATTCTTAGTTCCACGTAGCCTCGATTTATAATTAACAATTTAATTTAATTCAAGAGCATTTAAATTTTTAGTATATCCTTGACTTTCCAACATTGTTTCAAGTGCAGATATATCTTCTGGATTGCAGTTCACATTTACGTTTTGAATTTTGTCAGCACCAACATGACTTTGATTTCTACTTAAAGTAGCAGTAATAGCCGCAGGATCAACTTGGCCTTGAACGCCTTCAGGTAAATAATCTTTCCAATTTCGAAATAAATAACGAGTAAACTTCTTTAACTGCCTAAATTTGCAATACGTTGCACCCTCCGCAGACTCCAACTGTTGTGTTTGTATTAAAAATCCTTTCTCTTTGAAGGTTTTTTCAAGCTTCTCACGCTGAGTAGATCTACGCGATTTTCTACGCCGTTCACTATGGTTGCGTTGCATGACACCGGACAGTGTCGTAGACTCATCATTCACCATGTGCGGTTGTACATCCCGTCTCACACCAATATTAGTTCCAGTCTTTTGATTTAAATTAACATTTTCTGTAGCTGCATTAAAGCAGGTCTGTTGCGTATTATTTGAGATCATATGAGATGTGGGCGTAGTTCGAGCTGCTGTTGCTGTTGCGTTGGGTAGGAGTATTGTTGAAGTAGGAGTAGAAGTTGGAGAGTCTGGTATTTGTAATAACTCATTACTTAAACCTGTTGATGGTGGTGGTACGTCGAGGCATATTTTTTCACCTGTAGCATTTAAAAATGCGCCAGCACAATTCACACCTGGCAATACACCGGATTGTTGAAGACTTTCACGTGGAAAGAACTCATAGCCACGCATAGATTTATCTCCGGTGCCATTATAATACCTATAATTTCCATCTGAATCAACGGAAAGCATTTTTTTCTCTTGAAGTGTAGGTTTTGGACCGCCAGTAAACTTAAACTTGCATATGCTAACCTCTGTTGGTGGGTTTGTTGCATTCTCAGCTGGCATAGGAGGAATAAAAATAGCTGAACGCTTACGTTTTTGTGGTGCCATTTGTGAGAGAGGTGTCGCTGAGCTCGCTGTTGTTGTATTCGTTGCAACTGAGTTTTCTGATTTTACTGAAGAGGGTGTAGACATTTGTTCTGGATAATCTATAGTTGTGTTACAATTGTTAGAGAGCACGGGTGCTTGTTTTTCAAGTTTCGGGGTAAGAAACATATTACTCGGAATTGGTATTTTTAATGACAGTTGATTATCTTTCTCAATAGTTTCGATTGGTAAGCCAAACGCTTGGCCGTTACCACTTTCCAAGAGTTTTTGATAATAATAACTCATCGGGTGCAATAAATTATTTGTATCTATGATATTACCATTCGTGTGATTAGTGTTATCGGCATCTACAGGCTCTTGCTTAAAAACTGGTTTCGATTCACCAAATTCCGGTAATAATATTTTCATATTAGCTGCTAATAGTGTATCTGTAAGGTTGTCAGTGGATGTTGTAATAGGCGTTGCACTGTTTGAGTTAGTGTCGGATGCACAAGCTTCGTCTTCATCTTCACTAGATATGGAGTACATATCAGTGCATTGATCTCGCATACACAAATTTAATGGTTCTTCCGCAGAAGTGACTGGTAGCGTGGTTTTCATGGTTTCTCTCATAGTTTCAGTTTTAATAACTGCTTTTGGTGTACCAGGTACAATAGTACCGTAGTTTTTGTAGATAAGATGACATATGTCAGCCTTTTTAGGTTTACGTCCTCTACGTGGCTTAGAATTATCCAACGTTATTTCACCCATATAGGGAAGGTCTTTATAGTTTTGGACACGTTTCGCAGTAGAATTAGGCGAGTTAGGGTTCGAGGGTTTTGATGTATTATTTTCAGTATTTGCATGGTAAGTTCTTGTTGGTGAGAATGAATTATAATTAGTGGTGTTGACAGAAGCGCTGAACATGGGTTTTATAGCAGTTTGTTCATGTGTATTAGCAAATTTATTATTATTGTTGTCATCATGATGAATATCGATGGTAAGTTGAGGGATAGGCTGTACTCGCTGTTTATCAGCTTCCATCTGAGTCTGTTGTTGTTGTTGTTTTTGGTGCTGTTGTTGCTGTTGTGTTGCTGAACGTTGCAGTTCTGCAATTTTTTGCAACCAACTACGCACATTTTCATGTGCACTTTTTTGTGGTGGTAACTTTGTACCCTGCGTCAGCTTAACCACTCTAGTTTCTTTAGGTTGTGCATCTTTCGTTTGTTTTGTTGCTTTTTTTGCAAATTGTCGTTCAGTAGCTTCATAATGGCTAAGATATTCCGGAGGTAGGGCCTGATGATGGAAACGTAGTTTTACAGCGCCTTTCTTTTTAGGCTTTGCTGTGCGTGTATTTCTACTATTACTTAATGTGGATGTCGATCCTATTGTAGTTGTCGCTTGTGTGTTAGTCTGCTTCTGTTGTTGTGCACTCATTAGTCCGGCTTTAACTTTAAGTTGCTGTTTTGTTAAGAGACTGCAGCCATTTTGCGGACGTTGTTTTTCTTGTATCGGTTTTGGTAAAATTTTACGTTGTATTGTAATGGGCGGAACTTGGAGTTGTTGTTTCTGTTCTAATTGTAGTTGTTGCTGTTGTTTTTGTTTATGTGTTACGGCTATAAGCGTTCTAAATTCAGCTGGATGATCATCGTCATATGTAATTTCATCAGCAACACTAGATATAAGTGGGTCATCGGAACTTTGTAATAATAATTTTTTATGGACGTTCTCAGTTTTCAAGCTATGACGTTGTTGTAAATATTTCATACGGGATTCGTGAGACTGTTGCCATGTTGCAGTATGCACGGGAAAGAGATCAACGCTATTATTGTCTTCGAGTTTAATATCACAACTTAAAGCTGCCTCAAAGTTGTTTAAGCTGTCGACAACTGTGTGAGGTTTATTAAAGAAGTTAACGGAATTGTTGCCTTGTATGGTTGGACACATTTCTTTCTCATAACCATTTCTTAAACCTCCATGCTGGAGTACATAGTCATCACGAACGGCTTCTTGCATACTACTGCCGCCAACTGTAATTATAGAAAAAACAAATTTAAATAATTTTCAATGTATTGATACATTTAATTTTCATTGTATCCCTAAATATGACTGTAGACTATAGTCAAATATATATAATATAATATAATATAATATAATATAATATAATATAATATAATATAATATAATATAATATAATATAATATAATATAATATAATATGATATAATATATAATATGTATAATAAAATATGTAATATGTATTATAAAACATGTAATATGTATAGTAAAATATGTAATATGTATAATATAATATATAATATCTATAATATAATATATAATATCTATAATATAATATGTATAATAAAATATATAATATGTATAATATAATATATATAATGTAATATGTAATATATAATATATATAATGTAATATGTAATATATAATATATATAATGTAATATGTAATATTATAATATATATAATATAATATGTAATATATATAATATATATAATATAATATATATAATATAATATATATAATATAATATATATAATATAATATATATAATATAATATATATAATATAATATATATAATACTAATATATGTATATAATATATATATATAATATATATATATTTTAATAATAGATAACATTATATTATTATAATAATATTATAACATATATTATATAAGTATAATTGAATATATTAATATAATAATCTATATATAATATTAATATAATATTATCTATATAATATATATATTATATATAATATAAATTATATAATATAATTAATATAAATATAATATAATATATTAATATAAATATATATAATATAATATAATATTATATAATATACAATATAATATAATTTACAATATAATATACAATATAATATATAATATAATATAATATAATAAAATCTTATAATATAATATAAAATAATATATATTATATGGTATGGTATATTATATTATACCATATAAAAAAAGTAGTATAATATAAAAAGTGTTATAATATAATAATAATACGATGTCATACATAAAACAATATTTATAAAGTAATATAATATATAAAATAATATATATAAAGTAATAAAATATATATCATAATATAATGTAATACATAAAATAATGAAATGTAATGTATAATATATAAAATAATATAATATATTATAATATAATATAATATAATATAATATAATATAATATAATATAATATAATATAATATAATATAATATAATATAATATAATATAATATAATATCATATATAATAGATATTCTTTTCAAAGATACTTTAAAAAGTTGTGTATTCTTTAAAATTGACTTATTAAAAATATATATGTGAATAACTCAAGCCATTAGATAAAAAGGCAGAAGAAGAATTTTTTAACGGTTTGGTTGGATTTTTCCAGTGGACTATTCAGCTGATTATCGATTTAGCTTCGAAGTATATAGTGGCTAATATATCAACTGCTTTTACCCACGATGAAAAATGTCATCCACATAATTTAACTTTGACGTACTGGACCAATAACAAATTACTATTAAAATCATTGCCACAGCAGTATAGTGTATTACGATCCATCAATATCCATCGGTTATTTTAAGTAACTGTTTTATTTTACTCTATTGGCACACAAATTATCGCACATCCTCGAAACAGCGTTGTATGATCAGCCAAATTTTAATACACAAATTAAATTTTTGTTATTATTTCTTCATTACTGTTCGAACTCTTCTAGTTTCTTTTGTTTTTATCATAAGACGCGTTACATTCTACACAAAAAAAAAATCAACCTTAGAATAAATATTTTTTACTATTAAATTGGCTATATTTTAGATGTGCGGTTGGAATTAATACTTAAGAATACTTTACAGTATATCACATGATGATTTTTCATTACCAATTTTTTACATTGCATTACTAGTTTTTTACATCACAATCGTTGTATATTATTGTTTCACAGTTGCAAATATTAGGGCATAATCATCTTAAGTGATTGCGATATCGATACATCTTAATCTTAATAATCCAAATGGAAACTCTAAGTAAATCTTTTAATCGTAATTTAATTTTTTTGCTGAAAGACAACTTTCAACTAGCTGTTAATAATATAAATCGTACTCAACTGACAAAACGTTCTGAATAAGAAAAACTAGGATAATGGTTTAGTAAAATTGTCAGCTGGGAACTGACAATACTAATCTGTTGACAATGTTTATAGTAGAAATGGTGATCATCGTATGTGTTCTTAAAGTATAATTGATCAATTTTTACAATTTTATAATTTTAATTTACATTTAGTTATATTTACTGTTTATAAAACTTGAATCAAGATCTATATAGATATATAAATAATTATTTTATTTTTTCCTAATTAATTTATTATATTTATTTTTAAAAAATGCTTGCATTTACAATTAAATACTTATCATAAACAAACGTAATTACAAACAAAATATTAATTTATTTACAAATTTAATTATTTAATAATGGTCAGCCAAAAATTCAATTAATTAAAATAATTTAAAAAATAAATTTTTGTTGTTGTTTCACTTCTGTTCGAAAACCTCTTTATTATTTAATAATACGTTTGAAATTTCGTAAACAGAAATTGTCACTCATACGTCACGAGCTTAAATAAAAAACCACTGCTAATGTACTTTAATATTGATCACTTGATAAAATTATAATTATTATATGAAATCTATTTACTATTTTACTTTATATTAATAATTGTTTATTATTTAAAACTGAAGCACAACACGCAATTTTTTTAATTTTATATTCAAAAGTGCAAAGTCGCATTGCAAGAGTATTAACAGCAGCTGTTACAAAGAGAGTGAGAGTGAGAGAGAGAGAAAGAAAAGAGAAGAATCATGCAAGAGATTTAAATTTTTCATGTTATTACCCGTAAATGAAAATTCCGGTAGCATATTTTTATTCAAAATTTTTTAAATTGTGTGGATTCACTAAAAATTTTTTTAAAATTTGTGGTTATAAGCTGCCGGCACATAAAATTGAATTCTCTTCCCGCTCTTTTTTCAAAGCAAATTTTAAAGAAATACAATTGTTGTTATAGGCTTTGGTCTATGCTCTTTCTTCACAGCTATTTTCTCGTATGCCCGATGTTCGCACGTAATACAACGAATTAGCTTTTGCATGAAATTCGATGCCCTTCCTTTTGCAAAAATTACCATATACGGAATGAAAACTTTTTTTTTCATAAAACTTTGAAGAATGCAGGGGCTTTAATTCGTATGTCCATTAATAGCACAATATATCCACGTTATTAAGACAGTTATAATTTAAAAATTTTTACTAAGAATGATCACCAAGATCCATTAAATAATATTGTTTCAAGTTTAAGTTTTTTTTAAAAATTAATATCTTAGTATTATTCCGTTAAACTTTAAGCTTTTATTTAGTTTATTTCACTAATATAAGTATTAAACTTATATTATATATGTTTGGGTATATCACCTGCCTTTTCACGTTTTCTTCGTATTATTTTGTTTTTTTTGTTTAATTATTTTAACTGCGCGCGTACATGTTGACATCTAAATCGCAACTAAAATTACCAAAAGAATTTTCCCATATCCACCTTAGATGGTCGTCCACCGCATTTTCAGTTTCGTTTCTTTTAATTGTATTAATTTACGCGGCATTTACTCTCTACATTCTACATTCCAATTATAAAGATTTTCCTCATTTCACTTAATTTCGCTTAAAATGTATGCATATGTTTCTTGTTCAATTTTAGAATATCCAACTTGTTAACACTAAATGTGGTCTTCGTCTCACGTACATTTAAATATTTCGGATATTCGGCAAAGTTGACAATGTGGACAATGAAATTGTTGCTGCATTCTGATAAAATATAGTCAAAAAAGTGTTTGAAGAAATCATAACGATGCTCTCCAATAATTTGTAAACGAAAGATCTCATACATCTTCTCACTTTGCGTACTCTTCTTTTTCAGAAGTGCGTACCAATCGTAATATAGAAAAACTATTGTATTAGTATTTAATAGAAATCAGTTTAATTTTTGCCTTGTCATGGCAACCTAGTTTTTGCTCCCACCCATCACTTTCGTCCATATGCAACATTGAAAAAAGTGTCTGAAAAATGTTCAACACTCTCTCACTCTCTTTTTGCATTATACTCAATAGGGAAATTGATTTGGCGTAGTCACTACAAAAAATATGCGAGTTCATAATAGCTTACACGTTGATCCTCTTGAATACGGTGGCGTGTGATCGGAGTGTGTCTATAAATTCACGATCGCCGGCATATACCTTATATACCATACGAGTATAAAGCTTATGACACACATTTTTCTTATGCTAGTGTATTTTAGAAGTGGTTTTATAGTTTATTTTTGAAACAACGTGTTTTGTTTCATACAAAGAGTATTTGAAAATTAGTTTTGCCTATATTCTGATTTTATTTAAAAATAGCTTGAACAAATGTTTCAAAATTAACTAAATTTTAGGAAAATTGATATCAGTTTCAACTTTTGATAAGTCTTCTTGCACTGTGGAGTATGCAGTTGATTTCTTTTTTTTAATAGACTAACAAATTTTTAAAGATGTACATGCAAGATGTTAAATAATTAATATATTAAATATATAATTAAATACATATATTTAAATAACATTAAATATTTATATATCTTTATATATATAATTCTTCTGTACGTGTGTTGACAGCGAACTCCTCCTAAACGGCTGAACCGATTTTGATGAAATTTTTTGTGTGTGTTCAAGTGGATTCAAGGATGGTTTAGATTCATAATTTGGTTCACTGGATAATGTTTGTTTAATTATTACACAGTTTTTTGGTATCCATATACATTTATATTAGACATTTAAAATTTATTCATGCTTACTTTGATTTGTTTAAAAAGTTTAAAGTTCAACTATCCTATTGAATTTTTGAATTCGCTGGATTTACCAGGAATGCCACCACATAACTTAAGATTAAAAATTGGCTCACCTATAATTTAAATG